CCAACTCACTCAACAGAACTCAAGTCAGATATTCAAAGGACCAATGCAAGCCTTGACCAAGCTTTGCTTGGAAATTTCCAGAATTGCCTATGTCCGAAGGCGGGCCATCTGACATTGTGATGATCCTGGTGGTGACTCAGCCTGCAAAGGTGCTGGGTGGTGGTCTGGCTTGTGGTCAGCTCTGTCGTTCGTTTGTCTGCGCTCTGCCCTGCACAGAGGAGCGCACCCATCGTTGCGTGCGTCCCTGGACCAGGAAAACCCTACTTCTCGGGTCCTGCAGTCTTTTGTCCTTCAGATCAGGGGTCTTCCACTGTGACCCACATTCTTCAGGGGCACCACCACGATTTCCCGAGGCTGATGCCCACTCCTCGTGTGATATCCCAGTGCATTCCGTAGGACGGAATGCAGCGCTTCCCGGATTCTGAGCATCATGTGAGAAAACATCCTTCCCTCCTGTCGCCTGTGGTTATGCTGGTGTTCTTGGCAACCTCGGTAAGTCTGGGAAGACTTTCAGCCCCACAGGGTGGCTTTTCTTGCTTCTGAGCAACAACCTGCTTTGTGACAGGAAACGAGATGACGCGAAGTTGACATGAGACAACTTTGCCTGTGCTTGACTTGTTTTTTGGGTTTTGTTTTTTAATTGTGGCTGACATACACGGGTCCATTAGTCTCAGGTGTGCAACATAGCGATTCAACGACTCTCTACGATGTGCTGTGTTCACCACACCTGTGACTACCACCCATCACCATACAACACTATTACGATACTGTTGGCTATATTCCCTGGGTTGTACCTTTTATTCCTGGGACCGATTCATTCCAGAACTGGAAAGCCACTCCCCCGCCTCCTACCCTCCACCCGTTTTGCCCTCCTTCCATAGCCCCACCCCTGTGGCAACCATCACTTTGCTCTCTGTGCTTACGGGTCTGTTTCTGCCTTTTTTTTTGTTTGCTCATTCATTTTGTTGTTTTGGATGCCACATATAAATGAGATCATATCGGATTTGTCTTTCTCCATCTGACTTGCTTCACTTGGCTTAATACAGTCCTCCAAGTTGTCTCAAATGGCACAATCTCATCTGTTTTTATTGCTGAGTAATATCCGATAACATTCCACTGTGTGTGCGTCTTTGTGTGGGGAGATATATATATATACATATATATATATATATGTATATATATATATACCACTTCTTCATCCATTCCTCTATCCATGGACATTTGGGTTGCCTCCATATCTTGGCTGTTGTAAATAACGCTGCAATAAACACAATGGTGCATTTGTCTTTTCAAATTACTATTTTCATTTTTATTGGGTAAAGACCTAGTAGTAGTGCTATTGCTGGGTTTTATTGAGGAACCTCCATACTGTTTCCAAGAACCGCTTGCATTCCCAGTTTGCATTCCCGGCAACAGTGCACGAGGGTTCCCCTTTCTCTGCATCCTTGCCAACACCTGATGTTTCTTGTCTTGTTGATCCCGAGCCATTCTGACAGGTGTGAGGTGGGATCTCATGGTGGTTTTGATTGGCATTTCCCTGATGATGAGGGATGTGGAGCAAAGATGTGTGCTTGACTTGGTTTCGATGTCATGTGTGTGCTTGACTTGGTTTCGATGTCATGCCACCATGACTGCCGGTCTCTCTCCCAGACATGTGGCTACTCTATGCTGGCGTGGGGACGGAGTCTACTCAGCCTTCCCTCAGCCCAGCCATCCACCCATTATCTGTGGTTTTTCATCTAGCACTTACCAATGGCTCCTTCCTGCCTTCGTCTGGCCGTGCAGGGGGGCAAATCTCTGCATTTCTGTTTCCCATTTGTTTTCTGTCTTTGTTACCAAAGCCCATGCACTCAGCACTCCCTGAAGCTCTGTCCCTTTGCTCTGCCCAAATGCTCTCAAATCCTGTCTTGCAAACCACAAACTAGCCAGTGTAATTTCCACCCAGTAGAGATACAGCTGCTTGTATTGGGGCGGGTGGGGGGCTGGTGGTGGGGAGAGCCAGCTGAAGACACACGGCTCCAGCTTCTGCAGGAATTGGCAGGAGGCAAGAGAAATTGTCCCAGTTTGCTAATGAACATACATTCTCCCTGGGACTTTGACTTACAGTCCTGGGTGTGAACCTTGCAGTAAAGAGCTGGGGTATCTGTAGTTAGGGCTGAGCTTTATGATTCTATAAACTCTTAAATTTGGGATGCAGGGGCAGGGGCGGGGGTGGCCAAAAGCCCAGATGTCCCTTAAGGTTCAGTGAATAGCTATAAGTTAGAAAAGTAGATTCAACTGTAAGTTAAAATACAGTTGACCCTTGAAAAATGCATGGATGTGGGGCACTGATCCCCCGAACAGTTGAAAATCCACGTGTAACTTTGGACTCCCCCAAAACTTAACCACTCAGAGCCTACCATTGACCGCAAGACTTCACGGTAACATAAATAGTCGGTTAACCCATATTTTGTAGGTTATATGTATTATATACTGTATGTATTCTTGCAGCAAAGTAAGCTGGACAAAAGAAAATGAGAATTAGAAAATCATAAGGTAGAGAAAACGCATGTACGGGATTGTGCTGTATTTATCAAGAACGATCTGCACATCGGCAGACCCGTGCAGTTCACGGCCGTGTTGTTCAAGGGTCAACGGCAGATCTTTAATTGTATCTGCTGGCATGGGCACATTGGCCTCAGAAAGCACTGTCGCATGGAAACAGCCAGTGTAGGGTCCCTACTGTTTTCATTGTCTTTCCTCCTTTCCAAATATCTGTTGTGTTTTTCCCCTTCATGCCCAGAAGGACGAGTGACTTCTTCTTGTCTTTCCTCAATATCCAGAAGCAGTTCCCGTATGGGTGAGCGGACGACCTCTTCATGCTTAGTGCTCTCCATTCCACATCTGTGCCACTGTCAGTACCGTCCCACAGCGATATATAGTCTGCATTCCATGGCATTTGCAGTGACCCTTTGGAAAGTCTCATTTCATCAGTTCATGAGAAAACCAGTAAACGTTTTAAGGATGCCCATTGGATGGAGAACACGTTCAGCCCTCAGACATGGCAAATAGGGTGAAGATTAATTACATAAGCTTTTAACACAGGGACCAAACCACTTGGATTGGGTTATTGGTAGAATGGAAACGAGGGACATCAAAGAAGTACAATTCATTAATGCCCCCCAGATTTTCAACCCTCCTGCTCTTCCCACGGAGTCAGGGGTTCAGTGATTAGACACATCCCAAGATGTGGGCATTCAGTCATAAGGTTGAGAAAGTCACCGGTAACAACAGGATGCATCAGGCGCCATATTTCCACTTCTGGTTAAGATGGACATGGTAGGCTTACCCTCCAGCCTCAACCAATCAAGAAATAAGGAGTCAAAGAACAGTCTTCAAGACACTTACGAACAGTAATCCCTGGGAGGCAGAAGAACGGAGCAGGTGGAATCCCTGTCTAGTGGGTCACCACATAGCACCAGAGGGACCTGGCCTTCAGAGAGTGGAAGGAGGCGTTGGGGGGCCCAGCCTATTCCTTCCATAGCTCACAATTACAGCGTGGCCCCACACCACTGCAGCTGCAAGGGAGGGGGGGGAAGGCACCCTCCAGGGCGACCATGTGCCCAACAGACTCTCGGGGGCTCTATGACCGAAAGGACAAAGGGAAGAATAGAGTGGAGTGGGGAGTGGGGTGTCCATATCTGCCACCGTCCTCAGGGGGTTGATGAGGACCAGGAAAATGGCAGTGGGTGCAGGAGAAGGAGCAGATTGGAAAGGGATATTGGAATCGGTGGGACTTTGGGAAGAGTCTGACATGAGCAGAGGACAAGCGGCTGAGCAGCTCACAGAAGATTGGCTCTTGACAGCAGTTTCTTGGGTTGGGAAGAACATGGCACCGTGTTTCCTGGGACAGCATCAGAAGAACCCAGGGCCGGCCGAGCCATGGACGGGCACCAAGGGATGGCAGGAAAGGAGGGAGGTCCATGTGTGAAGATACTCAATGCTGACGGGAACAAGACAGAATGGACAGCAGCCTCAGGGAAGGACGAGGTTAAGAGAAACCGTGTCCTTGAAGACAGGGCCATGGGCAAGCATTTCTGCCACGGCTTTCCTGCAAACAGTGCCGAGCAGCATCTGCCATCTGGTATTTATGGACGTTCGGGGGAGGGAAAGGCCTAGAAGGAGCCAGAGCGAACGTCCTGGAGAGGTGCCTCTCCAGGAGGCCGGCGTGGGCGACAGGAAGTCAGGCGGGTCAGATGTCTTTGGTCAAGACATGACTCATAAGCGGTGGCTGGGGACACTGGAGAACCGTCGACAGTGGGCTTTGGAGGGGGACACGTGCTTCCCCCCAGAGCCGCAGTGCCAGGCTTGTGCCTCTGACGGCCGATGCCACCTGCCTTCCCACTCAATGACACCACCCCCAGAAGCCACCTCTCTGCTTATGAGTCAGCAACTCACACCCCCGATGCAATGACGGGGGCCGTTCTCACCGATGCACTTTGATCCTCTTCCAAGTGCTTTCCTTGGTGTCCCTGAGAGTGCTGAGTAAGCCCCACAGCTCCTTTCCTTTCATTCTCTTTATTTTTTTTTCTTAAGAGCCCAGAAATCCCCAAGTACCCTCATTCTCCAGGAATCAGACTGATGTCATCGAAACCTCAGCATGTGCTTTCCATTAATGATGGAAACTTTCCTTCTCATGACCAAAGGAGTTTATGAGATGCTCAATGATGTACTCTAACATCTTTATGATTGAAAAAAAAAGTGACCATTGTCATTGGGAAGATCATCTGCAGATACAAAAAAAGATCTACAAAAGTTAATAAGAAGAGACTCTGTACTGTTTCTATCAAATGTCCCATCGTCTGTAATATAATCTGCTCTGTCAAGCTATGAAAGGGAAGCATGTAGTGCTCACCAGCAGCATCTTGATCTTATATGGAGAGGTTGAATATGTGTCAGTTATTTTTAAAATATGCACCATTGACAGAATCTAGAAGCTCCAGATGTTAAAAGCTAAAAAAAAAAGAGTTTATCCCCTGGGGTTTTGTTGAAATTCTGTGGTGTTTATTCATGTCCTTCCCCTTAGTAAGACCATTTATTCCCATGTTTGGGAGAAGTCAGTGATGGTGAAGGCGTCTCCTTCCCCATGTTTCAGTGGCCGTGAAACATTTTCTTCTTCCCCGGACACTTGACATTTGCTCACCTGTTCTCACACATTAACACATTGGACCCATGAGCTCGGTCAAGCCTGCCTTGCCTCCTGACAAGGAGGGTTGTTTTCGTTCAAGTGTTCAGGGACTCGTGCCGGCCAGAAAGTCAGCGATTCTTACCTTATAAAGGCTCATCGCAACTTCCAGGAGAACAAAGAGCAGAATGGCAGCAGGTACTTGGCTGCTCCAAGTGATCACTTAATTTTCTCTTGGAGAGACAGCATGAGTGGGGGATTTGCTGGCTGGGCTCTGACCCCAGTTGGTCCATCTAACCTCCTAGGACCTTCCTGAGCTATCTGTAAACTCTACAGGGAAGACTCCCAAGCTCCATTTCCGTTCAAACACCACTTGGCTTTCTTCCAGCAGAGAGACGGCATTGAACTATGGTCACCATGCATCCCTGCTCCCGCATTTTGCCAGATGATGATGGGATTGGTCACTGTCAAAAAAATAAATAAAGCCCTTCTGGATTGTGGCAACTTTTTCCTCTAAGAGCCTGAAAAAATGTCCCCAAAGATACCAGGTCTCCATCACTAGAACCTGGGAATGTGACCCTCTTTGGAGAAAGGGTTTTTGCAGGCTGTCCACATCTAAGCTCAGCCTTGCCTGAAAATCCACCCATTTAGGACTTGGAGGGGATGAAGGTCCACAGCAGAATCCAAGGAGGGAAATCCTTTTCTGATGCACGCTAAGGGTAGAGGGGCTAGGGTTGCCTGACGTTTCCAGTCTTGCATCCTGAGGCCCCGGGCAAATCTTATCCTCCCAGATTCCACCCACCAGAGCTCAGAACTGGCATACTCTGAAGACTGAGAGGTTGAGGTGAGTCACCAGCAGAAGCTGGAAATAAGTCCTCAATCTTTGTATTTAGGTCAGTGCCTCCCAAAGTACAGAGTTCTTCATCCATTTGGCGTATCTGTGCGATCGAAACTGGCATCTGACCACAGCTTCTGCCAAAGACGGCAGAAGAGTGAGGTCAGCCTTGAAAATAATATTCCAAATGTGTTGGATCTCCAGATTCTCCCAGGATACAAAGCTAGAATCCATATATTAACAACCTAAGTATGTTTCCCGACAGGAACAAACCAGGAGCACGTGCACATCTGCTCTAGTAAATGAGAGACCAGAGGGGATGAAGTAGGGAAGCCCCCTCCCTCAGGGTGGCTGCAGGTTCCTTTCAGAGGTGTCCTTACTGGATGGTCGACACTTCTTTTTAACTGAATATTATAATTATTTATATTATATGAGAATTTTAAAAGAGCTTGGTTTTTAAAGTTATATGGCACTGTCGTATCCAAATTGCAATGGTAACTCAATGAAAGTCACTAACATCTTTTTTTTTTCTTTAAAAAAGTCACTAACATCTTAATTGTTGGGGTTACCCTCATGAGAAGCTCAACGGCATGGGCATAAGTATAAATTCATATAATATGTAATGCATATGACATATATTAACTTTTTAAAATCTATCGATCATCTATCCCTTACCATTTCTATCAATTCTCATCTATCTGTGTCTATCTACCATCTATCAAATTTATAAATTTTCCATTTTCCATGTCTAATAACTATCTATCCATCCACCTGTTATCTGACGTATGTATCCATTCATCTATTATCTATCTCTCTCTCTCTCTATGATCTATTATCTATCATCCATCCATCCATCCATCCATTCACCTATTATTTATCTGACTTATATGTCCATCCATCCATCCACCCATCATTTATCTGTCCTCCACCATCTATCTGTCTATCTATCATGGAACCATTCCTCCATTCATAGATAATATCCTCAGTGACTCTGCTACTATTCTCATTCTTCAGATGAAAAACCACATGATAGGGTCATGAGTTACCTTAGGAAGGTGTCATTGTCCTAAGAGATGGCGCTGACACATGGCCTCTCCTACCTCTTTCATTAAAGATGTGTGTGTGTGATTCACAAACCCCTGGAACATTTTACCTGCTTCAGAGGCATCATTACACCACATCAGTTGTAGACATCATTTATATTCAATTGTGTTGTTGTTCTATAGAATAAGGTAATTCAGTTGGCATTATATATATCCACCAGATACTTAATTTTATTAAAACTTACTATTGCTGTGTAGAGTCCCTTGAAAATTCCTTTTAACCAAGTTTTTTGAGTGTGTTTTGAAATAACTCTCTCTGATAGATGTTGGAAGGTAAATTCACATTTGTGAGCTTCCCAAGCTCTAGAGCTCCAAGGGAGTGGGGATTTACCATAGAGTCAGCTTCTCCTTAAGCCCATATGAGCCCACGTAAGTGTCCTCACACTTACCTCAGAGAGGGACACCAGCGCTTACTGCCATGGCCAAATTTGGTTCTTTGTTTTACTGCTGATGCAATAATCACTTACTCTTTGATGGATATTGAACGATTTTTCCTGCTATACGTGTGTTTTTTAAACATCTCAGTTAGAAATATTCCCACTCTTTCCAGCAGTCAGGACCTAAAGGACTTGATTTTTGCCGTGGGGGATAGCCCGGCCGTCAGAGCTCTGTGCCCATAGCAGGTGGAAGTAAGTAAAAAATGCTCTACCTCCCCAACACCAAGGGTCTTAAGACAGCAAATGTTAATTATTTGTTGTCAGCATATTAATTTATTGTATGAATAGTATGTTAGCTTATTAATTTATTATAATTAAGATAATTAGCATATAATTTATTATATATTAGTATAAATTATATATATTATTACATAAATTTATATAATTTATTATTGTATTATTAATCCTGATAGTATATGAAGTTGTTATAGTAGCACATTAACTTATTATAATCCTGATAGTGTATTAATTTATTATACATAGTATATTCATCTTCATAGTATATTATTATTATATTATTATATATATTATTATATATATATAATACACAGTATATTAATCTTCATGGTATATTATTTTATTATAGTAGTATATTCATTGTAATACTGATAGTATACTAATTTATTATAACCCTGTTGGTATATTAACTTATTATATATAGTGTATTAATCCTGATAGTGTGTTAATTTATTATAGTAGTTCATTACTTTATTAGAATCCTGATAGTATGTTAACTTATTACATATAGTAATCCTGATAGTATATTAATTTATAATAACAACATATTAATTTATTATAATCCTGATAGTATATTTATTATAATCCTAATAACATATTAATGTGTTATAGTAATATATTAATTTTTTATAAGTCTGATACTAAATTAATTTGTTATAATCCTGTACTATATTAGTTTATTATAATCAAGGGAGGCCAATAGACACTTGTTCCTCCTACAAGGAAGCCATGACATAACAGTCACTCACGATACATTGTCTAAACTTCATATAATTATTTTTGGCAGGTGGCCACCGAGACCAAGTGGGTTTGCATACAGTAATTCCATGCGGTGGTTCTGGTGACCTGGAATGATCCTTTGCATGAAATGTCTCCTGAGACTTCACAAAGTCACTGCATTGCTCAAATCCAGAAACTCTATGGGTGAGTGATGAGGATATTTCTGTTGCTGGGATCAGTCTGGCTTTGAAACATTTCCTTGGTTAAAATGATGTGAGGGGTTATGGAAGGTGCGGGAGATTGGAGACTGTGTGCATGTGTGCATGCATATGAGAGAGAGAGTGGGAGGGAGGGAGAAGAAGGCACAGGAAGGATGCTCATTTATAGGGAACATACTAGCTATAGCGAGAAAGGCTCCCCCCCCATTCTGCCATGAGCCCCCATGATAGGGTAATAATCATGCTGTTCTCAAGGCAGATTATTAGGGTTTATGCATCTGTCCTCCCTCAGCCACAGAAAATGTGGGTTTTCCATGGCATTGCCAGTTGATAGGACCTTAAAATGCCATTCATTTGGGTCAGGCTACCACGTGAGGAATACGATATTTGGGGATGATGGTTGGAAGGACCACTGGTCCCAGATAGAATGGGTTTTATTTTATTTGAATATGTCTGCAATTCTCCAGAAAAATTTAATCTAATCATAATGAAAACTTTGGAAGGCAGACTATTTAAAAAAGTTACTCTTCCCCTACCCCCTTGACCTGAAATTTGTTAATATATTCCTGTCAACCACAATTTTCAACTCAGCCTGGACCATGCAAAAACTGAATTCTGGACCTCTTCTGTTGTACTTCTGCACAGAATTGCTTCCTCTGAGCAGCACTTTGTTATTATGCACTGGGGGTTAAGATGAAAATATTTATAGCAGAGTGTATTTACAAATTGTGTCACTGTCTTCACTGTAGGGGAATTAATGAAGACATGTTTGGTATTAATGACTCAGAGATATGACTGGAACAGCTTTCCTTGTGGGAAGGAAATGTTGGGAAATCATTATTCATATAACAAGAGAGGTCTCACTTTTTCCCTTGGCTGCCAGGAAGTGCGTAAGTCAATTATCTTTAAAAATCTTGTCATTGTGGTTGACAGGGATATATTTATGTTGACAGATTTCAGGTCAAGGGGATGGGGGGAGAGTAAATTTTTAGATGTCTGCCTTCCAAAGTTTTCGTTATGATTAGATTAAAGTTTTCCGGAGAATTGCAAACACACAAAAGTAGGGAGAGGGGCACCAGGGTGGCTCAGTATGTTCAGCATCTGCCTTTGGCTCAGGTCATGATCCGAGACAAGCTTGCCTGTCAGTGCGGCACGGACACATAAATCATCATCCCAACACTCTCCTCAATCAAACACAAACGAGGCTGTCATTTGGAATGTGCGTCAAGTTCATAGCTGCTGCTGGGTTTATAGGGTCTTGGGGTTGAGCCGGGTGTCGGGCTCCTTGCTCAGTGGGGAGTCTGCTTCTCCCTCTCCCTCTGCCCCTACCACTCGCTCATGCTCTCGCTCTCACATAAATAAATAAAAACCCTTAAAAAAAGTACAGAGAATAGTCTATTGTATTCCCCCATGTACCCATTATGTTGACTAATTACCAACCCATGGGGAACCCTGTTTAATCTACACCCATACCCCCCTCCTACAACTCTCAGACTTACCTTGAAGCTAATCCCAAGCATGGGATAATTGCATTTAGTTATTTAATTACATCTTATTTTCTTGTGCATAGCATTCAGCACTATACACAATACATTAGGAATACATGCATATTTACAAAACTCATCTTTTTGCATAATTCACTCAACTTCTGTTAATATGCTGGACTTGGCGCTCAGTCCCAGCCTTGGAAACCAACCCAAGACCGTCCCTTGGTGACAGGAGAGTGTCCTATTGTCTGGTCTTGCTATGGCATTGATGGCCTTTACCTGAGTTTCAACTTTTCTTGGACCCTGATGACATTTTCCGGAGTGAAAGGATGCAATTAAAAAAAAATAAAAGTCTATCTCATGATTGGACTTTTAGTAAGATCCTCCAGGGGCCAGAAGAGACCAATAATTCTTTTTTTTCCCTCTGTCGTAACTCAACCCAGAGTTTGGATTCCATTCCCCAAGGAGGCATGCCATCATCTTCTGGGATTCTGGAAGGAAAGCCCATTCTAGGCTAGCATGAGATGAGTTTGTATGTGTGCAACCTGCTTAGATCAGGAGGTGAGGTGGGCCTGATGCTTCCTGGTACATTCCCCCCTGTCTGTGAACCAAGAAGCCAAGACGCCATATTGACCAGCCTTGCTCCGCCATCTTTTCTTTTCTTCAAAACACCATCTTGCTGCTTCAGTGCCTATGCAGTTTCAACTGAGCTCTCAAGCCTGCATGTCAATGCGGCGCTGACACATAAATCATCATCCCAACACTCTCCTAAATCAAACACAAACGAGGCTGTCATTTGGAATGTGCGTCGAGTTCATAGCTGCTGCTGGGTTTATAGTCTTGCGAAATTGGTATTTACAGTTAGTCCACTTAAGAAATTAGGATCCTCTTGGTTTGTGTGCACTTGGCAGGGGGGTAGATATGCCCTGGCTGCTTGTAGAAGTAGAAGTAATGGACTGTGTTTTCCAAAAGTACTGACTCAGAGCAATGGAAGCTGTTAAGTGCAGGGCTGTTTGGTGCTAGTTAGGAAGAATGGGAAGTTGGGAGGACCACACCCATGGCTGGGGCCTGTCCGCGGGTGGCATGGGTGTTACAGAGGATGGATTCTCAAAGATGGAAAACCCTTGTTAACAAAGCAAAAAAGAGAGAAAGTCTGTGGAATCTCAGAAGGGGGATTTGCAAGAGAATGTGTCATCTGGTGTCAAAGACAGGGGGCAGTTAATAGATTGTTTCTCAAGCTTTTTGGGTTTCCTCTTGGCTTCTGTTCAAAACTGTAGAGCATGGCTCAGCAATCTTTTTCTGTAAAAAGGGTAAATATTCTTGGCTTTTGTTTGCCATATGTACGGTCTCTGCTGCAGCGTCAACTCTGCCCTGTGAGCGGGTAAATGGATATAGACAATATGTAACCCAGGGGCATGGCTGTGTTCCAATAAAACTTTATTTATGGACACAGAAACTTGAATTTCACGTAATTCTCAGGCGTCGCAGAAGATTCTTCTTTTGACTTTTGCCCAACCATTTAAAACAAAGCATGAATTAATCTTAGCTGACCTACACCAGGCAGCTCTCAAGGTTTGGCTCACAGGTCATTAGTTCCCAACTCCTGGTCTAGGTGACTCGCTTTAGTCAGGGTTCTTCAGAGAAACAGAACCGATTGGGTATATACATAGGAAGAGATCTTTTCTAGGGAATTGGCTCACGTGATCATGGAGGCTGTGAAGTCCTACCATATGCTGTTTGCAAGCTGGAGGACCTCCCAACTTGACTGGCCGGACAAGAAGACAGGAAGTGAATGCTCCATGTCCCAGGATTCTTGGCATCTGGGATCCTCACCTGAGCCAGATTCTTCCAGGTAGATCTGCTGTTATTGCATGAGGCCCAGAGATGAGCTTTGACGTGCAACGGTCACAGCGGAAGAGCACATCTTCCCATCTGCATGGTGGCAGGGGGAGACCTGGTTCTTCTGGGGATGCCAGAGGAAGAGTCCACGTGGGGTCCAGTCCTGACATCATGGGGGCTGAAGATGTTGGGGGGAGCTGTGTGGCTTCCGATCAAAGGCCCCATGAGCTGTGGGTGTTTGCCTTTATTTTATGGACCCTGGGACCATCATTCCCATCTGTGAACCATACATCCTGGTCCTCCGACCCTTCTCAGGGCTCGTTCATTCCCTTTAATAGGGTCTGTGTTCACATCTCTGTTTTTATAGAAGTACAGCTGACACACAATGTTACATTAATTTCAGGTGCATGCCATAGTGATTTGACAAATCTATACATTGCGCTGTGCTCCCCGTGTGTGTAGACACTGCCTGCACCATCCAACCCTATTCCAATACCACAGACTGTATTCCCTGTGCTCTGCCTTTCATCCTTGTGACTTTTCATTCCATAACTGGGATTCTGTACCTCTCACTCTGCTTCTCCCATTTTGCCCAACCCCCTACCTCCTTCACTCTGGCAACCACCTATTTGTTCTCTGCATTTATGGGTCTGTTTCTGCTTTTTGTTTGTTTGTTTATTCCTGTGTTTTGTTTTTCAGATTCCATCTATAAGGTGAAATTATATGGTATTTGTCTTTCTCATTTTGCTTAGCATAGTACCTTCTAGCTCCCTCCACGTTGTCCCAAATGGCAAGATCTCATCCTTTTTTTATGCCTGAGTAATATTCTGGATGCTTCTCTTCTTAAAGGGCCCCAATCCTCCCAGCTATTTGTAGGAAAGCAATACCCCATTTCTTTCCCATGATGGTTGGGAATGGCTGGGAAGTCACATTTCCTTCCTGCTCACATCATCCAGACTGGTTCTGGTCCCTCCAAGTCAGAAATGCGTCTGCAACAACAGCTGGTATTCACTCAGGATCTCCTGTGTGTCAGGCACAGTGTTCTAAAAGGACTACATTTAAAGACCTCAATGCTCCTGGGTGTGGAGGCTCTTAGGGCCTTCTTTTTTGGATGAGGAGATTAACATTTAGGGAGGACAAAAGGCTTCTAGAAAGTTAAGAAGTTAAGAAGAAGCACACAGCATTTCACCTATGCAGCCTACTTTCATAGCTAAGACTTCCAGCCACTGAGCTCTGGGGCCTGGGGGACAAGAAAGGGAACAGGTGGAGAAAATGGATGCTGGCTCTGTCCTTCTGACGTCTAAACAATGATTGCTTTTATTTGTCTGCAACTCAACTCAGAGGGATGTACCATTGAGCTGGCATGACTCGCCTTTGGGATGTACCCATGGGTCAGACCATCAGACGGGACTGTTCAAGTGGTTTTGTTTCAATATGGCCTGTGATGGATAATTGGCTCTGGTGCCCAGTGTGGGTCAAACATGGGTTTACATATCCCTGAGGAGGTATTTTTCAGATGAGATGAACATTTACGTTAGTAGGCTTGGCGTTAAGTGGATTGGCCACCACAGTGTGGGTGGGTCTCACCAAATCCGTTGAAGGACTTAAGAAAAAATAGACTCGGGGTCCCCCAACGAAGAAGGAATTCTGCCTCCACAGCATAGCATAGAAATTACACCTGAGTTTCCAGCATGCTGCCTGTGGACTTTGGACTGAAGCCTTCGACATCAACTCTTAGCTGAATTTCCAACTCTTAGCTGTGTCTGCCCAGTGGATTTTGGACTTGCTGGCCCTCAAAATCATGTGAGCCAGTTCCTTAAAATAAATCTCTCTGTCTCTCTCTAGGTAGGTAGACAGATAGATGGATGGATAGATAGAGAGATATGATGGATGGATGGATGGATGGATGGATGGATGGATAGACATAGGGATGGATAGATGGAAGGATGGATAGATGATAGACAGATGGACATAGGGATGGATGGACAGATAAATATAAGGATGGATGGATGGATAGATGATAGATGATGGATGGATATATAGGTCAGATAAATAATAGGTGGTTGGATGGATGGATAAATACATAGATAGATAGATACAGATAAAATGAAGAGATACAGATAGGGATGTAGAGATTTCTGTATCTCTCTGTGTGTATCTCTATCTGTGTCTGCATCTCTGCCTGTCTTGATCTCTTGTTGCTCCTCTCTCTGGAGAACCCTAACTAGTACATAGCCCGATGAAAACAAAGCAAGCATAGCACCACACAGTAGCTGGACCGCGTGCGGTTCCAGGGAAAAGTTCATTCCCGAGAGCTCCATGAAAGGATGAAACTATTTCGGGAATCACTGACCTGCAGCAAAATCTGAGGACGCCCTGTCTAGACAGGTCTTTGGTTTTACTGCATCTGAGCAGAGCCCACTGCAAATGGGCACAGGATTTTCTTGCACAATATTCTAAATACCTGTGGTCTATTAACTGGGAGGTCAAGATAAGTGACTTTTATTAAGATGTCTAAACCTCAGACGCCGAGCGAGATTTTCAGGCTCTGACATCAGGTCTCAGATTGGCGAGAGCAGCATGAGGTTCACAGGGGGCTATAGCATCCATAATACATTTTTTAAAGTGGTGGGGTTTTTTTCCCCCCGAGATGGTTTTGCATTCACTGGTGGGTCAAACTATTCAACAGGAGCCCTCTGGCCTGAGTGGGGAAGCTGCCCCTTCTCGCCCAGGCGAGTGTTCTCTGTGGGTAATGGAATCCTCTGGGGCATGGCATTTTTGAGGAGCCTGGGTGTTGGCTGTGGGCGCTTCTGGAAGCATCAGTGGCTCCATCCTGCAGCTGTGTGCGTGGTGTTGAAGGCTGTCCACATTCTTCAGCGACGACTGCATGGGTTTTGTTTTTATTGCTTAGCAATTCGACAGGATAGCCACACACTTCGTTAATCTGCTGACTCCCTCCATATGCCTCCCTCCCACACATTCATAATTTGGAAGTGAAAGCAGTGTGAGACCCCCTCCCCTGCTAATGGTTTTCGTCCAACACCGTTGTCTTGCAGCCCTGATATCTCCGTGAATTTCTGTTTCTTTCCCCCGGGCTTTGTCCATCTGGGCTCAAGCCGTTGCTGTGCTTACTGCAAACCTGACTCCCCATCGTAACTTAGCAGTACTGGAACCCTGCAAACCCTCCAGGAGACCCTGTTTGCCTGGGGCCATCAGAGGAGCTCCCCTCGTTTACAGCCCAGCCTTCTGCTGGCTCAGCCTGCTCCTTTCCCACTCCATCCACACTCTCAGACCAACCTAAGTAGATTTGCAAATGCATCTTCGCAAAATGCTCTTGATTCTCTGTTAATACTGACCTGGCCCTTTTCTGTTTGGAAACTAAAAGCAAGCGGCTCCCCAACCATATATTCCCTCACCTTGTGCTTGGGAGCATAGCTCTGCAACAAAATTCTATATCCATGCACTTTTTAAAAAAAAAAAAAATAGACTTTATTTTTTATTTTTTTTAAAGATTTATTTATTTGAGAGAGCGAGAATGAGAGAGAGAGAGTAGATGAGAGGGGGGAGGGTCAGAGGGAGAAGCAGGCTCCTCGCCGAGCAGGGAGCCCGATGGCGGGACTCCATCCCGGGACTCCGGGATCATGACCTGAGCCGAAGGCAGTCACTTTAACCAACTGAGCCACCCAGGCGCCCAATAGACTTCAGTTTTTAGAGCAGTTTTAGGTTCACAGTATAATTAAGTGGAAGGTACAGAGAGTTCCCATATACCCCCTGCCTCCACCCATGCAGAGCCTGCCCTCCTATGAACATCCCGCACCAGCGAGGAACACTTGTAAAATTAAAATAGATGAACCCACATCAATGCATGATTATCACCGCAAGTCCATAGTTTCCATTAGGGATGACTCTTGGGGGTGCACATTCTGTGGGTTTGGGCGAATACACAGTGGCATGTGTCCACCGGCGTGGTGTGACACAGAGTAGTTGCCCTGTGCTAAAAATTGCTTGTGCTCCACCTGTTCATACCTCCTTCCCCCACCCCTGGCAACCCTTGACCTTTTTACCGTCTCCATAGTTTTTCCTTTTCTAGAATATCATAGAGTTCCAGTCATACAGGATGGAGCCTTTTCTGATTGCCTTTCTTTCACTCACTAATTTGAATTTAAAGTCCCTCCCCAATGTACTTTTACTTCTTTCTGATAAGTGCTATTTATTAATTTTTAAAAATTTATAACAGTGAACTTGATTTTTTCTTTTTTTATTTAAATTTTGTTAGTTAACATACCGTGCAGTATTGGTTTCTGGAGTAGAATTCAGTGATCTCATCACGTGCATACAGCACCCAGTGCTCATCCCGACAAGTGCCCTCTTTTTAAATGATAGTTCCCGCTGAGTTTTGGGGTCCAAGGTAAAGAGAGGGTTGTGCCTTTGCCTATTTATTGTAATACCTGTCAACATTTCAGGATCCATGATGGGGATTTTCTTTCCCCCAAACTTCCCCGACCCCCAGCTACCATCAACCAACAATTGCTTCTCTCTTGTACTTATATTTCTAAACACTTGAATTCTTCCAACAGGGCAACTGGGCAGAAATATGTATGCACAGACATTCGACAGCATTCACCACCCAAACCACTGGCCTCACTGCACAATTATTCCTTGGGGTCTAGCATCATCCTAGAATATATAGGAGGGAGGACTCACTCAATTTACTATTTTAGAAATATTCTCTAAATGTGAACAAGTGTCTCACACTCAGCTCACAAAATCCCATCATCTTTCCCAGGGTCCCGCCACTGGCAGACGTCACTTCCCTGGGCCCCCCTCCCAGGTACAGTACAGCAGAGGGCTCCCCATAATGAAATGCAACGATGTCTACTGGCAATGGCCCAACTAGGCTGGAACCATCTGGAGAGGAAATCCACATGAGTCCTTCTGAATGGCTTGGGATCTGCAGAAAAGGAAGTTTGACCAGAGGGTGGCAAGACCCTCCCGGTATCTTGTCATGGGGTCATGGCCAACACCCAAGCCATCGGATGACATCTGCATTGTGCATCAACATGGCTGGGGGCCTGTACCTTAAACATCCCTCTAACAAAAGCCCCTACCTGTGTCTGGGTTGGAGATGAATAAGGACAACCCAATGTTGAACTTGGTGGCCAACGTCTGGAGCCAGACATTGCTGTCTTTGTGAAAAGAGCTTCATTACCACTGGTCCATGTGGCCTCCTTGACCACGTTGTTCTGGCCATCTTGGCACCAAGCTTGTCCTCTGAGAGCAAATGGGCTCCACTGAGAACAGGGGAACCACCATTGCTGATGATGGTGGTCCACATGTTGAGTGGGAAGGTTCTACAGATGTATTGTCTAACATGATAGCAACCTGACCCCTATGGCTAATGAAATTTAAGTTTAAATTATTTAAAATAAAAAAAATTTAAAAGTCACTTCTTTGGTCAAATGAGCCACATTTCCAGTGCTCAGTAGCCACCATATTGTACCTCATTGCTTGGAACATTTTCCCATAACTGCACAAAATTCTGTAGCACTGACCATGCTGGTCCAGACACTGGATATTTCTAAGAAACATCCAATTACAAAGATGTTGAAGTATTTTTAATTTCTGGAATTCTTCTGATTATAAGAGTCTAAGGCACGTGGATGATATCCACATAAAATACAACTGGCAACATTCTCTTCATTATTACCAGGACACAAGTCTATCTGCCTCAAAACTTGCGGCTCACTAGATAATGTAAAAAGTCCTGCTATGAAAGAAAGCCAAATTCTGAAGAATCCCTAAAATCGCCCTATTTCTGAATAGGTATGCATAGTCATATTATCCGTGTGTAGTGTAGTTATGGAAGTCTACGACTCTATATGAACACGTATCTGCATATTCTTATGTTCCATCACTACCATGTTACCACCTCTAGTGGATTGGCCACCACAGTGTGCGCGGGTCTCACCAAAACCTCTAGAAGAACAAAAGACAAGACTTGGGCTTCTCAGAGGAGGAACCACCAAAAACCACCAAGAAGCAAAAAACGTCGACCAGTCGTGTTTGAAGATGAGACGTGAGAGTTGTGCCCAACACCGTTGAGATGCACAAGATTGCCTGAAGTTAGAAGGCTGGCTGTTGGGCACTTGGGGGGCTCAGTGGGTTAAGCGTCTGCCTTTGGCTTAGGTCATGATCCCAGGGTCCTGGGATCGAGTCCCGTGTTGGGCTCCCTGCTCAGCAAGGATCCTGCTTCTCCCTCTGCCCTTCGCCTTGCTGGTTCTCTCTCGCTCTCTCTCTCAAATAAATAAATAAAATCTTAAAAAAAAAAATAAGAAGTAAGAAGCCTAGCTGTCCTAATTAGAGGAATGCTCAGCCGGCTGGCAAAGACACCAGAGAATTTGTTGGACTTGACACAATCACCGTTTATCTGTTTTAAATCACTCGTCCGTTGCAGGTGTCCTTGCTTGAGTAGATTTCTTCCACGTGCTGAGTGAGAGAGCAGGTTCCTCGCCAAATTAGTGCTCTGCCGTCTGCCACACCTGCCTCCCGAGCTATGCTTGTTTCTGTTTCTTGGCTTTTTGCTGGGGATGTTTTTGCTGCTGTGGTTCCAACCCCATGCAGCTGCAAGGGAAAAAGCACGTGCGTGCCCACGCCTGGGAGGTTTCCCTGGTGCACACCCTTCCACTCACATTCCTTTGAACAGAACTCAGCCACTCGGACACATCGCACCATAAGCCCAGCTGTGAAATGTCAAGCTGAGAAGAGGAAGCAATTGCTTTTCTGTCCATTAGTGGTCCCTACACACTGGTACGACCATCTCTTGGTGCGCACGCGAAGTGATCAGAACACCCATCCCTCGCTGCTGGGACTGCAAATTAGTGTCGTCTCTTCGGAAATCCATTTGGCACCATCTTGAAAAGCTGAACATGACCCAGCAGTTCCCCTGGTTGGGATAAACTCTGTAGAAACTCTTGTGTACGCGTGCATGTATACTCATGCCCTTAGCGATAATGTCTGTACCAGTGATAAACCTGCAAACAACCCACACGTGTGCCACAGGAGAACGGATATATAGAGTGCGAAATAATTGCACAATGCAATGTTGTGCAAAAGGGGAGGTAACAAATTAAATCTGTATGCAACGTTATGGGTGAATCTTAGCAATTCAGTGTGCAGAGAAAAAAAACACAAGACAATGAGCTATCAATGAATAAGACTCAAAAAATATGTCATACTTATATGACATATATGTGTTTACATATTATATATATGTAAGATACATATTATACATAATACAACGTGCATGATAATTTGTATAATGTAGATAAGACACATATATGTAATATACACACATATATGCATGTACATGTGTGTATATATGTGTATGTGTAATATATATACATACATATATATATTACATATGTGTGTCTTAGAAATTCTTAGAAATCTTAGAAATTCAGTATTGACAGAAAAAAAATACATAAGACCAGTGTCCTGTCAATAAGTAAGACTGAAAAGTAGTCATGCTCATATATATATAAGATATATATGACACATGTATTACCTATAATATAATAATATATATAATATAATAACCTATGATAATATATATACTATAAATAAGGCATGTATATATAATTTATAGATAATATAGAATATTAATATATTCTATATAATAATATAAAATAATGCAATATTACATATGATAATGTATAATATGATTAAGACATATATGTAATTTATAAACATTGGGGTGCACATACCCCTTCGGATCCCTACATTTGTATCTTTGGGGTAAATACCCAGTAGTGCAATTGCTGGATCGTATGGTAGCTGTTTATAGCAGCGATGTCCACAATAGCCAAACTGTGGAAAGAGCCAAGAAGTCCATCAACAGATGAATGGATGAATAAGATGTGGTGTGTATATATACACAATGGAATATTATGCAGCCATCAAAAGGAATAAGATCTTGCCATTTGCAACGACGTGGATGGAACTGGAGGGTGTTATGCTGAGCGAAATAAGTCAATCAGAGAAAGACTTATCATATTACCTCACTGATAGGAATTCTTAATCTCAGGAAACAAACTGAGGGTTGCTGGAGTGGTGGGGGGTGGGAGGGATGGGGTGGCTGGGTGATAGACATTGGGGAGGGTATGTGCTATGGTGAGCGCTGTGAATTGTGCAAGACTGTTGAATCACAGACCTGTACCTCTGAAACAAATAATACATTATATGTTAAAAAAAAAAAAAAGACGAAGAAGATAGCAGGAGGGGAGGAATGAAGGGGGGGAAATCGGAGGGGGAGACGAACCATGAGAGACGATGGACTCTGAAAAAAAAACTGAGGGTTCTAGAGGGGAGGGGGGTGGGAGCATGGGTTAGCCTGGTGATGGGTATTAAAGAGGGCACGTTCTGCGTGGAGCACTGGGTGTTATACGCAAACAATGAATCATGGAACACTGCATCAAAAATTAAAGATGTAATGTATGGTGATTAACATAACAATAAAAAATTTAAAAAAGACATGTGATTTATAAATGATAATATATAACACATTAATATATATGATAATGTAATATTATAGATGATAATATATAACATAAATAAGACGTGTATGTAATTTAAACAGACACATATCTATCACATATATGTTTCTTAGAAATTCCTAGAAATCTTAGAAATTCAGTGTTGGCAGAAAAAATACAGAAGGGCAGACAGTGCACTGTCAATGAATAAGACTCAAAAGTAAACATATGTATGTCTTATCTATAATATAATACCATATATGATAATATGTATGGTAATGTATATAATTCAGATAAGACATGTTTATGTAATACACAGAGACAGATATATATTACATGTGTGTCACATAACTCCATATACTATATAAAATTTATTATATGTTTACATATTTCGTATATGTGCATATGTGTGTATGTCTTGTATGTAATATATAATGGTGTATATATTACATGTGTATATGCACACAAACATATGTGTATATGTCTTAGTCATATACTGGTCAATAGGATCCAAGAGTCCATTAAAAGGATTATTCACCATGACCAAGTGGGATTTATTCCTGTGCTGCATGGGTGGTTCAACATCCACAAATCAATCAACGTGATACACATTGAATAACAAAAGAAAGGACAAGAACCGTATGATCCTCTCAACTGATGCAGAAAGAGCATCTGACCAAATACAGCATCCTTTCTTGATCAAAGATGGTCAGAGAAAACTTCCTTCTTATTCATGGGAGGTCCAGTCTTTTGTGCTACTCAGGCCTTCAACTGATTGGACGAGGCCCACCCACGCTGGGGTAGGCCATTCTGCTTTAGTGAGTCTACCCATTCGAATGCTAATGTCACCCAGAAACGCTGTCACAGAAACACGGTGTTAACAAATAGCCGGGTACCCCGGGGCCCAGTCATGTAGACAGACAAAATTCACCATCATAACGTCTACATATGTGTGTGTGTGTGTGTGTGTGTGTGTGTGTGCGCGCGCGCACACACACACACCTGCATCTTGCAATGCCTTAAGTGTCGAGCTGGCCTCGTTTGCTGGATGGTGTGCACTGTAATCATATTCCACAGTCATCCTGCAACGGCATTTGTTCTATCCAAATACAAATTCAGCAAAAGATCAGAAACAATGAAATAGAGACAGACAGACATGACACAGCCAGACATCAAGAACAGAGAGCCACGGTGTCACCTAAAAATGCCAGTAACTGCAGAGAGCTTGCAAGTTCGCTGTGCTCATCACTGGGGGAAAGATGCCCGTCCGGCAGCCCTGTTGTGGCCACAGCGTTTGGTGGGGCTTAGCCTCGCAGCCATGAGCTCAGTGGGATGCTTTTTCCTCCCTTAATATCCGTCTCCTGACAATCTGTGTCCCCCTGCCCATGTATAGAGCGCAGGGCGGACTGAAACCAGCTCCATTTTACACAAAGAGAACAGCCCCTCTGCGAAAACAAATTATACCCTTTAAAAACACCTTTCTGCCGCGTCAAGCCAAAACTGCCTGCTTTCGTAACTCGGCGGCACCTGCTGGACACGGCGAAGGATGTATTCTCTAGGTTCCCAAAGCACCTGCTGCACAAAGTACACATCTTTTGACTTTGGAAGGCTGACGGCTTCTAAGTGGGTTTGAAATCCTAGAAACAAGCAGCTCTCCTGTATGAGCAGAGGAAAGAAGAAATAGGGATCACAGTCAATTAAGACAGAATGCACATGTTTCCAAGAGTCTTGTGTGTGTGTGTGTGTGTGTGTGTGCGCGCGCGCGTGTGTATTAGTTGTGGTTTGTATTCAGCGTATGTAGATACCCCTTGGTTATCAACTCAAGATGACTAAACTTACATTCATTAGTAAATTTATAATTTGGTTCAACATATAGAAGAATGAAATAGGACTGAGTGACAATAACATTAACACCATCATTCATGCCCTGTTAAATTTCCATAGGCCCAACATCAGAAGAATATACAACATTACGAAAAAACATTCTTATCAGTTCTAAAATCACATATTTGATTTTCCAAAGGTTTCCATTACTTGGCGGCACTCCTACCCATTGAGAACCATTTCCAACTCACACATATCCGGCACACAAGAAAATGGCCATTCTCTTCTCTCTCTCTAATACTCCTGACGCCATACTTCCCATTATATATTGTCCCATCCTGATAATGTTGGAAGCTGGCATATTTCAAGCCATGATACACCTGTTCTCGGACGGGGTCACCCATCTTCCTGGCCAGAATCCCAGGAGGCACACGAACCGGGCAGGCTTCATCGTCTGGAGAACCTACGGATGCCCATTGCCCACCAAGACACACCTCAAGACAGCTCACGAAATGCTGTCCTTGTGAACAGTCCTGGGGTAGGCTACACCGTGGAAGGACCCAGCCCATGTCACTCATCAGTGTTGAATTTCAGTTACGAGACTTCCCACGTAAAACCTGGCAGAGAAGTTTCTACACAGGAATCAAACTTTTAACAAAATGGAAAGAACACCCACCAGTTGGTCTTCTCCTTGAATCCTAGACCTAGTTAATGGGCTGGATTCTCGCAGCCTACACGACCATTTCCGCCGTGGGGAGGACAGACGGCAAGGTTACTGAGTATCTTGCTCGGAAGATCCAGCCCATCCAGGTATGCCCAACACCC